TTACACCTGATCTTGCGATCTTCATAAGAAAATTTCCTTATTTGGTTTGTATCACCGGCGCAAATAAGTGTACGCCAGTCCACCTTCTTTATATAACAAAAGTTCCTTATATTGAACACCAATATTTCTAGAAAGGTCACGCCATTTAAAATACCCGAGCACAGTACAAAAAAAAATTATCCTAAAATTACCTTTCAAAAATAAATACAGAAATAAATAAAAAAAAAAAAAAAAAAAAAACGCAAAAACATCGAATATTCTACATGGGAGTACATACATACGTTAAAGAGTTTTATCGTTATAACATTGGGTCCAATTAAATTTTTATTTGTAGAAAGCCTTATCAAAGACTCTAACTTATTGGATTCTTGAACCTTATCGACTGCAACACATGATAATCTATAGTGTAATCTATAGTGCTCATTTGGGTTGTTCAAAAGTACACACGACTTTATTAGAAATCAGTTAGCCAATCATTTTGATCATCATTAAATTTATAAATTGCTTCTGTATGAAGTACATACGTCCCTAAGTACAAAAAAAATTTTGGATTCTTTTAAAAAAACTTCCCATACTTTCAAAATAACTACAACAAGCATCTGTTTTTGATATAAAATAATCACAATTATTAGTGATAATTAAATCAAATCTTTTTTACTTTTTCTAATCAATTTTTTTTAACCTACAAAAATTAACGTGTTTTCAATAACAATTAATCACTCATGGCGGGTAATATGATACAATTGAAAGATATGAGTAGTAGTAGTCGTTTTACGACTACAACCGTTTCGCCCCGAGGACAACTCTTGATTGTCTGTTTGACAGAAAAAACTTCTTCTACTGCAGGCAAGAAAGAGTGCTATTATTATTCTACCTGTAAGTTGAATTTAACCGACGACTGTTTCAGTTGTAGCTATAATTTTATGTCCTAACTTTGACTTTATGTGCTAAAACAGTGGGTAAGAAGGCTGGGTGGCGTTCCTGTGAGTGTTTATTTAAATGATAAAACTTTAAAAATTTTAATTTCTAATTTCCAGTTTTGACATTAATTATACATCTGATTCTAATGTAGGACATGACTCCCGAATTTTTCTTGAACTTGGAAGAGCAAGGCTTCCTAACCCGTGACAGTGGCAGTATCACGGCGTTAGGAAGTCTTTGGGGTGTTATTGATGGTGATAGGAATAAGAAATATAAAATAAAAAAAAAACAGTCAACCTTTGTAGAACAAGTTTTTCGCGGTGGCGGTGCCCCTACCAGCATTGACCTCTATTTGACAATCACATCTGTGCAACAGGTGCAGCAACACGATTATAAATGGGAGGGTTTCGTCATGAATAGTGTACTATTTCTAAAGGATAATGGTTTAAATGTGGTGGAGTTAAAAGAAAGGTACGTTAATTTATAGGTTTTGTTTATTTCTTCTTTTTGTTGTGATTATGAATTTTGGTTCAGGATATGTGGACCATTTATTTCCTTCCAAGATCGCTTCATGTAATCATTGAAATTATTTACTTTTATGCATAATAATCCTTTTTTTTTTATCATGCATTTGGGAATAACGGTAATTGCTTGTGAAAGCAAGCAACGTCTGTACAATTTCCTGCGTGCTTGTGATAATGAAGCGATCAAGTGATTCTATGAAATTATGATTCACATTCTTTCTAACTTTATTTGATTTTCGAATGTATTCCTCGCGCTTGCACATTATTGTTTTGCGCCTGTGTTGTCATTTCTTGTTCTTTTTTACACATTATAGCATTGTTGCCGTCCTTGAACTGGCGGAAGAATGCTTAAAGTGCAATTCTGTAGTTGTCTGTCTCGAGAAAAAATGTCCTCATTTATGTAAGATTCTATTCATTATATTTTGATTACCTCAAATTTTTAATCATATATATGTTATATCTATTGTTTTTGTTTTTATCGTTAGCTTTACTCATTCGTGGCTTCTTGTATGTTGGCTTCGAACTGGTGGTACCCGGCACGTTTAATTATAATTCCACCGACTTCCTTTTAGTTGGAATGGAATTGTAAGAACACTTCTTTGGCTGTACGTTATCTTACTTCATTTTATTAGTATCATTTCTTATTAAACCTTTGTTTCATATTTTATATCTTAACATATGTTGGCATTAATCATTTGTATATATATTATGAGTTATAATTTTATATGTGATAGCTATGTAAAAATAAGGTATCTCAAAGATAAAATTATACAGTTTTGGATCAATCGTTAAAAAAAATTATCCACTTGCGAAATGCATTCATCTATTGTTTATTACAATCGGATGCTAATCATGGTATTATCGAACTTTATTTAAATGTGTCAAAAAATGACGTTATTCTGAACCGATTTTTATTTAAAAAAAAAAAAAAAAAAATTATTTAAAAAAAGACAATTAGTTCTAAAAAAAAAACGTTTAAAATATTCTTGCAAAAGTTATTTTATGAATTTTTTAGGAATTTCACGGAATTCTTAAGCTTTAAAGGGCGGTAATGCATCAAATAACGACATAGCCAATTATTGTAAAAACTTTCAATTGCAGATCTTTCACAAAAAAGAAATATTTTGTATTACACAAATTTGAAAAATCATCGACTGAACTAATACTTTTGTAGTCATAGGCTACCGTAGCGTAATTAAAATAATCTTTTTCTTTGTTCGTTAGGGTTAGAGTGATGTAAAGATAGTATGCGGATAAAAAGATGCGTTTTATAGTAAACTCTAGCAAGGAATTTTTTTTGTCAGAACCCAAAGAGTAGTTTTATATATTTTACTCAATTGACAAAGCAAAAACGTTTGTTTTGATTGTGTTACGTTACATTTGATCTTTAAATTTGATTGGCTTTTATGGGATGCGGCTACAGTAGTCATGGCTACAAATGAATTAAAATTGTGGGGTGTACGATATCAGTCTAATTACAAATAGGATTTTTCATAGCAAAAAGTGCCTATATTAAGGTTAGAATTTTTTTTTTTATAGTCATTATTTTTATATGTATGAAAAATCATCAGTGTTTTTAGAAGTTTTGGTTATAGTATTCAGATAAAAATATATATAAAGGGTGTTGGTATTTGTACTCCCCACATTTGGTAATCATACTGTTATATTAGTAGATTTTATTAGCATATTTTAAAAGATTTTATTAGTAAATTTTATTAGTATAATTTATATTTATTATATGTTTATTTTTAGCTTTAGTTTAATAGTAAA